TCTTTTCCTATACATACCTACCTATGATAAAGTTTAATTTATAAATTAGGCACCGTAAGAGAATATCCGAGCTGCCAGCCTACTACTCTTGTGCTTTGGAACCATTATTAAGTAATATAAGAGTTGCTTGAACACAAGCACTGTGATATCTGGACGGTCGATCTGATAACGACAACGGCTACTAACTGACTAACAGGTGGGATACGCTGGATGAAGGGATGATGCACATCCCAGGTGGGACGGCGCAAGATTTCATCACGCTACTCAGAACAGTGCACAATTTAAAACTCACGAATTGTTAATTTCTGGAATTTTTCATGTAATATTTTTGGACTGCAGTTTACCACGGATAACTGAAACTGCAGAAAGCAAAGCCTCGGAGAAGGGGGTGGTGGTGGGAGGTGAGTGTAGTCCAAAACTGGGAGTGACCCAAATGTCCATCAATGCATAAGTGCAGAAACAGATTGAGGTCTGTCCACACAGTGGGCTACTACTCGCGAGAAAAGAACCAATTACTGATATTCTCAGTGACATCTCAAAAGCATGTGCTAAGTTAAAGGTTATATATTGTGTATTTCCATTTATATGAAATTCTAGAACACGCAGAGCTGCAGTGGCAGTAAGCAGATCCCCGGTTGACAGGGTTGGGGGCTGGCAGAGGGGATTGTCAGCAAAGGCATAACAGAACATTTGGGGATGATGAGAATGTTTTCTATATTATGATTGTCATGGTTACCATCTGTATACATTTGGCAAAACTCATTAAATCGATGCACTTTATTGTGTGTAAATTATTAGATCTCAAGCCAATCTTTTTTCTATAAATTTATTTATTTATTTCTGGCTGCGTTGGGTCTTCGTTGCTGTGTGCGGGCTTCTCTAGTTGCGGCCAGAGGGGGCTACTCCTCGCTGCGGTGCACGGGCCTCTCATTGCGGCGGCCCCTCTCGCCGCGGAGCACAGGCTCCAGGCGCGCGGGCTTCAGCAGCCTCAGCACGCAGTCTCAGTAGTTGTGGCTCACGGGCTCCAGAGTGCAAGCCCAGTAGCTGTGGCGCACGGGCCCAGCTGCTCCGCGGCATGGGGGATCCTCCCGGACCAGGGACCGAACGAACCCGTGTTGCCTGCGTTGGCAGGGGGACTCCCAACCACTGCACCAACAGGGAAGTCCCTCAAGCCAATTTTTTAAAAAAGAAGGAAAAGTGTGGGTTGGAATCCCAGCTCTCCCGCTCCCAGCTGTGTAACTGGTTGGGTTTCCCCTCTCTGCACTTCCGTTTTCTCATCTATTAAAGAGTTAATAAGAGCAGCTACTCCCTGTAGAGGTTGGGAGTATTGAATGGGTCCTGTCAAAAGTTGACTGCAGTGCCGGCTACCTCGAGGTTAGTATTACAGGCAGCGTTCCGTGTTTGGTGGGGGCGGGGGGGGAGGGGTGCGGGAGAGGAGGCACAAAGAATGTCTAAGGGCTCTGATCTCTGACAGCCCCCAGCACGCTCGCCACCATGTCTCGGCTGTGGCTTCCTGCTTACAGCAGCGGGCTCTACACTGTCACCACTGGCCCGATTGTCCACAGTGTCGGGGCTTTCAGTTGGTCTCCTTATCAGAGCTGAGCCACTCCTCTCTGGAGCAGATGGTCTCAGTTCCTGTTCTCGTTCCCTTTGCGGTCCTAAGGCTGGAGAGACCCTGAGAGCCGGAGGGTAACAGACACCCGTGCTTTGATTCCATGTCTGGGCCTCAGTCTGACATTTTACCACCTGCACACAAAAGAGTTTCCAGCAGGAAAGGACTCAGGGAATAAAGATTCGGCAACTTGGGTTTTTCGACGTTGCCACCAGTACCTCCCAAAGGACTTCCTATGCACTCCTGACCCAGACTGGCCACTTATTGCTGCAAGTACCGATGGACACTAGAAGCGACAGTGCTGGGGTTTCTGTGTCAGCCAGCACTGAGGCTCCTTCAGCTGGGTGGCGTGTTAAAACTCCCCTGTCTCTTCTGCCACTTTTGTTTCTGCTGCTCTCCCCACTGATCTTTACGGTTCCTTTGGAGGAGATTAGATGAGCTGGTAGCCCCCTCAGACCTCACATCTTGGGCAAATAGTCATTGAATGGTTGACCTGGGGGCTCACTCTCTTGGACGCAAGTCTGCCAGGGAAACTCTGTCTCCCCCACTGGTTCTCAACCCCGGCTACACATGGGAACCACCTGCAAGGCTTTAATGCCAATGCCTGTCCCCACCCCAGAGATTGTGATTTAAGGGGTCTGGGCCTTGGGAGTTTGTGAAACTCCTGGGTGATTCTCATGTGCCGACCAGGTCGACAGCCACTGGGTTAGAGAGACCTGGGGACATTCCAAGGGGACAACTCTTGTCCAGAACCTGGGATGCAAGTGAGAGAAATAGAAGAGATCGATTGCCTCATTTAACCTTGAAGCCAGGGCTTGGCCTTGACTTCAGGCCAGCTGGACGCAGGTGCTTAAGCCGTAGCATCAGGACGGAGGTTCCTCCGTCTCTCAGCTCTTCCCTCACCTGCATCCTCAGCTGGGCTTTCCTCAAGGCACAGCCTGGGGCACCACGGACATCAGCATCTCCAGGCCGCCTGCTCCCTGCAGGGTCCCGTTCCAGGAGTCTGAAGCTGACTCCCTGGGCCGGCTGGGATCACGGCGCCTCCCTGACACCATCTGTCTCCCACCCACCATGCTCAGGTCAGCCCCAGAGGAGCCACACAACCTGAGGGTGAGACGGGGGTGCTTCCCCAGAGGAAAATCAAGGTGCTGGCTCCCTGTCAGAGGAAAGGCAAGGGAGTGGGCGTGAGGCGGGCAGAACCATTTATGTCCACTCCAGAGCTTCTGCCCCCGCCCCAGCAGGGTGCAACATTCAGGTCAGGCCTGAGACCCGGGAAATGGTTCAGGCTGTGCGGTGAAAGAGCCCACAGTCCCCGATGCACATCCTGCCTGTCCATGCCCACCCTCTGCTCTTCTGACCGCAGTCCGCTGCTGCCCCTCCTTTCCCCTCCCCCAGCACCGGGGCCTGGCACCGGTCCAGCTCGGAAGAGTATTGAAATTGAAATGTGGCTGTCGGCCGCCTTGCTCTGGTTACAAAATCAGCCAGACTGCCGCCTTGGGCCGCTGCCATCCCCACCGCCCCAGTCAGCACCGAGGGGGATTGGGGTGGTGCAGGAAGCCTTGGCGGCAGCCAACCCCAGAAGAAAACAGTGTCAGGTGGTTTCTAGAAATCGAAACTAGACTGAGCTTTCAGAAGCATTTCCTGAGACAAGCCTGACCACGCTCTGTACTGGAAGGGTTTTCTGGGTTGAAGATTGGTCTGCAGAGGGATCCTGCAGGTGGGAGGCTTTAGGACAGCCATCAGTAGTTGTCTCCGGCAGGTAAGCTTGTGCCTCTTGCTCTCAGGTGGGTGTCCCTCTCTCTATACCATGTAATCTGATGGTGGCCAAGCCTCCCTGCTTGTACCCACATGGGGATCTGGTGCTTCTCCTGAGTCCAGGGACCATCACTGCGGCTCCCATGTCCAAAGGGTCTCTGTGTACAGTTGGGCAGTTGTTCACCGGCACACAAGGACACCAGCCCAAGGGGCAAGCAGGCTCGGAATTCAGCCAAGGTGCTCTCTCTGATCAGTGCTTTTCAGCCCACGCTAAACCTGCCCAAAGGAAGAGCACCTTTTTCCAGTCTGCATAAACTCTGTCCCACTTCCCAAATGAGTCACAGGCAAAAGCGGGTGGTCACAGCCACCGGAAGTACTCTGACATTTACATACCACGTGCCAAGTGCTTAAATGGCCATTTGTCTGGGGCCTCGAGTTCCTGTTTCAGGATGAGCAAAGCCGGTGGCTGCCACTGTCTGGGGAGTGCAGAGGGTGGCCAGCCATCCCCGTGTGCCTGGGACCGAGGGCATGTCCCAGGACACAGGAGTTCCCGTGCTAAAGCCGGGACAGGCCCCAGTGCACTGGGCGGTTGGTCATCCTAGCCCCCTGGCCATCTGCTGAGGTCAGTGTAATAAAGAGAGGGCACCCCCCCACACACACACACCACCCACGGCTCCCCAGCTGTGTGAGCCGAGCCGGCTACCCCTCTGGGCTTCAGCTCCTTCACGTGTAAGGTGGGGTCAACGAAACATTTCTCAGGCTCGTGGTCAGGATCCCACGAGCCGGTGGTGTGAGCGGTCCTGGCCCAGGGATGCCGTTCAATGATGGTTAACAGGCCTTCGTGCCTGGGAGCCCCTGGGGGTCTGGTTAACGCAGGCCCGGGGCGCCACCCCAAGGTCACCAGGCCCTGACTTGAGGGGCAGCCGCAGGAGAGGCCACATCCCTACTTGCTGGGCCCCGGGGGCGAGTGTGGGTGTTGCAGTGACCGCCCCCTTGTGCGGACAGGAGGGGAGGGAGGCAAGTGAGGGGCAGGATGGGGGTGAAGGGGAAAAGTGAGCAGTGACAATTACACGGAGCCAAGAAGTCCAGACAAAAGTGGGGAGACCTGGGTCCCCCCTGCCTGCCTGCCCAGGGCTGGCTGTGTGGCCTTGGTGGTCCCCCGCCTCTTCGAGCCTCTGCTCCCTGGGGACACTGACCTCAGAGGTCCTCGCATCCTGTGCCCCTCCCCGCAGCCTCTCCCCATCCACACCCGGCTGCACAGTCAGAGGCCTGGGCCTCAGCCCTGACTCCTGTCCTCCCCACCCGACGCGCCCAGCCCAAGCTCTCTCACTGCTGGCTGTCCCTCTGTCACTCCTGCCTGGATTTCTGGGGCCTCCTCCTGCTGCGTCCCCCTGCCCTACTCTTGCCGCCCCCTCCCTTCCTGGGCTCACTTGGTCCAGAACCCACAGAATGTTCTCCGTCTGCTGCAGACCTCAGGGCACCCCCTCAGGGCTCCATTGACTGAAGACAAAGCTCCATCCTGAGCAGGGCTCCCCAGGCCCTCCCAATCTGGGCCCCTCACCCCCTGCCTTCTCCCTCCCCACCCTCCCCACCCATCCCCCCGACAGCCACGCCTAGGGCCTAGCTTTCTGAGATGGGCTCCTGTTCCCACTGTTCTCGCTGCCCAGAGACCCCCCCACCTTCCTCTGGGCAGGTCTTCCTCGTCCTCGGAGGACCACCTTCAGATGAAGTAAGGGGCCCCCACCGGGCGCTCCCCAGGCTCCCGGCTCTGAAGGTGCAGGCCCTGCACCCACCGGCCGCCCTCCGTGAGCAGGGTCCAAAGGCTGGGTGGGCACACCGGCCCTGGTGCCAAGGGCTTTCCAGCTCCGCCGTCTCACTCGGCTTCCTCCTTTCGCTGCAGGACATGGGGCTCCCAGGCAAGGCCATGGCCCCCCTGCGGCTCCTGTGGATGTGGCTGCTGGTCGCGGGGATTCAAGGTGAGTGGGGCCCCGGAGATTTGGAAAGCAGCATCTGTGAAGCTGCTGCTCCCTTGCTCTGCGGGGTCAGCCCCCTCTTTGCAGAAAGTCAGGGCAATGTTTTGCCCAGTGCCTGGGTGACGGGAGTCAGCCCAGGTCTTCTCTCCTGCTTGAAGCCCCGGGTGTCCCAAGTCAAGGCTTGTATGTTTCGGTGGGGGGATGCCAAGGGAGTCACCATTTCACCCGGTGGGAACCAGAGGGACCCGGCAGGAGGGGCCCACAGATTGGCCAAACCCTGGGGGACCCGAGGCCAGTGCCCTTTGGACACAGTCAGACTTCCAGAGTCCTGGACGGCTGTCCTCACCCTTCACACTTCGAGGCCCTTCCTCATCCTGGTGACCCCACAGAGGCCTGTTGCTCCCCCATCTGAGAAGTGCCCTTTGACACAGCGCCCAGCTCCTGCCTGACCCTGTCGGCTCCGGTGGGGGCTGAGGTGAGGCTGGGCAGGGGAGGTCAGCGGGCCGAGTCCCAGAGGAACAGGTGTAGGGCCAGGACCCCGCTTCCTCTCCTTGCCTGGCACACTCTGCCTGAGTTCCGGGGCGCCCTGGGCCTGCTTGCCCCTGGCGTTCCCGCACGCCCCTTCCAGCAGTCCTCGCTGTGGTGCCCGGGCTGCACCCCATGCCCCAGACACCCCCAGTGGGGTCAGTGTGGGCCCCCGCCCCATGCCCCATTCTTTCCTTGGGGTCCTGCCACCCTACTCTCAGGTGGCACTGGGCGCCCCTCTGACCCTCCTCTATCAATGAAGGGTTCAGACCTCAGAGACAAGAAAGGTGGCGTCTACCCTCACTGTGTTTATGGGGGGCGGTCTATGTGTACTTTCCACTCCTCCCCGGGGGGTGATCCCCTCGAGGATGGATGGGGTCTTCAAAGCTAACGATCCAGGGGTCACCCCCTAGTGGGGGTGCCCCCGTGAAAGCACATGACCCCCGAGGAGGGTGGGGCGGCCATGCTGCTGCCCTGGGTTGGAGGCCCAGCACACGGCTTTCATCCTTGCTGACCTCTGCTCTCCCTCGGGAGCTTGCAGGTGTGAAAGACGGTGACATGCGGCTGGCTGACGGGGACACCGCCAACGAGGGCCGCGTGGAGATCTACTACAGCGGCCAGTGGGGGACGGTGTGTGACAACCTGTGGGACCTGACAGATGCCAGCGTTGTCTGCCGAGCCCTGGGCTTCAAGAATGCCACCGAGGCTCTAGGCAGAGCCACCTTCGGGCCAGGTAACCTGCGGTTCCCCAGGTCCTCCAAAGCTGGACGCGCTGCTAAGTAACCAGGCCCGGGAAGGGATCGTACCTAAGGCGGGCAAATGGCGTTCCCGCCAGCTCAGTGCTGGCAGAGGTTTCAAAGGGGCCGAAGCCCCACGCTGGCTGAGCGCTGGCGGCCGTGTCCTCCAGCCCAGTGGCTCCACTCCGGGATTTACCTTCTTGAAACAGTTTCCCCCCAAAAGAAAAGTCTGTGTGTCTGTGTGCGGTGCCTGTGATTCAAAAAAGGGAAATCATCCAAATATTCAGAGACGGGTAGACGCATAAATTACGGTATAATAATTTGATATCTACGAGGCAGACAGACCTTGTGGGAGCAAAGCTAGTTCATGGTATGACGTTACAAGAGCCCCGAGAGCCCCAGCTCCCCCTCCAGGCTCTGTCGTCCTTGCTATGCCACCAGGAAGGGGCCCTGTCATGCTGGACGAGGTGCAGTGCACAGGGACAGAGCCCTCGCTGGCCAACTGCACATCCCTGGGCTGGATGAAGAGCAACTGCAGACATGACAAGGACGCCGGCGTGATCTGCACCAACGGTGAGCGGGGGCGGGGGGGCGTGCCCCATCCTGAGCCCCAGGGCCCTCCCTGTCCCCCCCGCCCAAGAGCTGCCACGGAGGCCCGAGCCCTGGATCCCAGGGATGGTGGTCACGCCGGCTCCCCACCCCTCCACGCGGATCACACACCTCCCCGTGCAAATGTTTGCAGGTGGTGCCTGCTTTCCAGGAGGGGCGGGAAAGGCCCAGTTCCCACCACCTCACAGCAACAGATCCCCACTTCCTTACTGCCTCCCCCCGCCCACCGCCCCGACCGGAGCCGCTCAGAAATGCTCCATTTAACCCGATTCTCGGGCAATGAGCCACATTCCAAATACAGGCACACCTCGGAGATATCTCAGGTTCGGTTCCAAACCACTGAAAGCGAGTATCACAGTAAAGCGAGTCACAGGAATTTTTGAGTTTCCCAGTGCCTGTAAAAGTTATGTTTACACTATACCGTAGTCTACTGAGTGTGCAATAGTATTATGTCTAAAGAAACAATGTACACACTAAAATATTGAATCACTATGTTGTACACCTGAAATTAATACATTGTAAACCAACTATGTTTCAATTAAATAAATAAGCAAGCACACTTAGTTGGAGGCAGAGCTAGAACTGGAGCAAAGATTTTCTGACCCTAGTCCAGAGTTCTAGGTCACTCCTGCGAGAGAGAAAGCAGCTGTCACCGGGTGCAGGCTCCTGGCCCAGCAGCGCCCCCTCCCTGTGATGGGGGGAGGTGCGGGGAGACTGACACCCGTGCTCAGCTGTACAGGGGCAAGGCCTTGTCGCATTAAGAAAGGATTGAAGCTGAAGAGTTTCAGATAAAATAAATATGCATATTTTCTCTCTTTTTTTTTGTAGAGAACAAATTTAAAGACTAGCCAGTTCTAAATATAATAGATCGATGGCATAAAATCAGTGAACCAGAAAAGCTATCGATGAAAAAAAAAACACTCTACACACCTTAATTTTTAAAAGAATAATGTACATACCTTAATTAAACAATACTTTATTGCTAGAAAATGCTAACCACCATCTGAGCCTTCAACAAGTCATAATCTTTTTCCAATAGTAACATCAAAGGTGACTGAGAATTACCAAAATGTGACACAGAGACGCAAAGTGAGCAAATGCCGTTGGGAAAAAAAAAATGGTGTAGCTCAAGGCACAGTTGCCAGAACTTTCAGTTTCAGAGAAACGCGGCATCTGTGAAGCACATTAACACGAGGTGCCTGTGCACCCCGTGTCTACACGCTGCAGCCTTATCTCTCGAAACGCCAGCCTTTCGTTTCTGCTAGTTCGCATTCCAAAACATATTACAGCACACCCCCGAACCGGCCTTAGACAGCGTGCTGAACGTGCTTTAGACATTTCTTGGGGGCAGAAAGGCCTGATTGCAAACAGCCCCAGCCCTGCCCTCTCCCTAGTGCCATCCGACGTTCTAAAGGGACCAAGGCTGCCCCGCAGTTTTGAGTCCTCGGGTCCCGGTTTTATCTCGTCTCTCGTGACCACTCCTCCTTCCCCCCCGACTCGCACAGGGAGCGCGGGGCACGTGCAGGAGACACACCTGGGCCGTGGGGCCGGGGTGCAAGGCAGGAAGCAGCCCTGGCCTGGTGGGGAGCCCCGGGGTGAGAGTAAAGGAGAGTTTGGGGTGCAGGGAGGAATGGGGGGGCTGAACCCACCTGGTTTAATTGTCAGAATTGATTCAAACCTGTTTGTGGCAAAGAAAAAACAGATGGAATTTAATTCCCTGCTAAGCTTTGGGAGGGGCCAGGAGAGGCAGTGCGTCACCCCCAAACCACCCTGGGGGCTTCAAGTAGCTTCTCTAGGCCTCGGTCCCCTGAAGGAGGCTGCTGAGAACCTCAAAACTCTAAATAGGGTTGCCATGAGACCCTCCCTCTTCAGACCAAACCAGGCAGGAGGTTTGGGTTTTAAAAGGTCATATCTGGGTGAGTGGTTGATTGGGATGGGGCCCCAGGCTCTGGAAGTCAGCGCCTCCAAAACACCCACCTGGATGTGCTGTCTGAATCTGGGGGAGGCAGATGAGCTAAGTAGGGGTGTTTGATGGAGCGGGGGCTCTGGGCCACAGAGGGCAACAGCACCCTGTCTTCCAGGGCTGTTCTTTCCTTGCCTCCCCAGGAGCCTTTCTGAGTGGATAAGGCAGGAGCGGGGCCACGATTTAAGGGAAGAAACTGACTCCAGGAAGCAAAAGTGTTTTCAGGTCACAAAGGAAGCAAGTGCCAGGGCCCCTCCTAACACGGCACGCTCCCTTATACCTCTTAGAAACCAGAGGCATCCACACCTTCGACCTGTCCAGCGAGCTCCCCGCAGCTCTAGAGCAGATCTTTGAGAGCCAAAAGGGCTGTGACCTGTTCATCAGGGTGAAGACGAAGGAGGAGGATGAGCTGGGCATCTGTGCCCACAAGCTGATCCTGTCCACCAACCCCGAGGCACACGGCCTGTGGAAGGAGCCGAGCAGCAGGGTCACCATGGAGGTGGATACCGAGTGTGTGCCTGTCGTCAGAGACTTTATCAAGTGAGTGTCCTCGGGGCCGGGGGCTAGGGACTGGGCAGCATCCCCTCCAAGGCAAACCGCAGGGATGAGGGATGAGGCACCGACAGCAGCCATGCTTGGGTGAACACACTTGTTCACACTTGTGTGCACACACACTCACACATTTGCCTTCACAGCCACGCATCCTCACATTCACACGCACATTCTTATGCATTCTTTCTGCAGGGGTTGTGAGAGATGGGCCAGCACACACGCACACACACACGCACACACGCGCACACACACGCACGCACACCCCTGTCTCTCAGGTGTCATAAGCATCCAGGAAACAACCATCAAAGGATTCTCCCTCTTCTCACCTGACTGATCTGCTCACTCGAAAATTTTTTTAAAAAACCCAAATCCGAATCTGTTGCTGGAGAAAAGTGGGGGGAAGCCCTCAGGCGGGGCAGCCCAGTCCTCGGGTCTAACCAGCGGGCCGGCCACGCTCAGGAGCCCGTCTCCCAGATGAGAATGGGCCCCGAGGGGCGGCCCCTTCCCCCCAGACCACCCTGCTGGGGGCCACTCTGTCCCCACCCGAGGGCCCTCCCGGGGGGCTGGTGTTCTGAGAGCATCGATTTGAAAAAAGAACCACGTCTGTGAAAGCTGTTCTCTCTCGTGACCCAAAGCTGTAGGTAGCTGAAAGTGACATTTAAGAGAAAACAACAAATGGCAGTTAAAACAGATTAAAGTGGTTTCTTTTCAGCCAAGGACAATATAAGAACTTGGCAGCCATCCTGTGCCCCTCGTAGCGGGACTGATATCTGTAATGTGTTTGCGCCTATCCCCAGCTTCCCAGCCCCAGCTGGAGTCACCGCCCTTGGTCAGAGTTCAGTGATTTTCTGGACTGTCTGGCCATGTGCTCCGGCTCTCTCTCCCTGTCTCATTCTGTCTCTCTGTCTCCCTGTGTCTCTCTCTGTCTCTGTCTCTCCCTCCCTCTCTCTCTCTTCCTTTCTCTCTGCCCCTGTCTCTCTCCCTCCCCTAAGGCAGAGAGGCTGCAGTGAGCCCCGTCCAGGCCCCAGAAAGCCTCAGAAGACCCCTGCTCACTGCGGCTGCCCCGCACGCTCCCCTTCCCTCTGCCCAGTGGTCCCCACACGGCACCTGCTGTTCAGAGCCTTCTGTCAGTAATCCGGCTTCTCACCAGTTTCTGGGGTCTCTGGGGGGTCACTAACACCCCAGGGCCTTTGGTCTTTTTTCTACCTTTCAGGATGTTTTCTTCCCTGATGGTGGGGCAGGGCCAAAGGGCTGATTGCGACCCCCTGTCCCCAGCCACTCGGGTGCCCGCCTGAAGCTGAGGGTGGCCAGTGTGCCCAGACCGGGGAGAGCCAGCCGGCTGGGGCGTCACCGGGTGGGAGCTGCACAGCTCCCAGCGGCTGGCAACCATCCCTCTCTGGCCCCAAAGCGAGATTAAGAGGTGGTGACAGAAACATTCTGCGGTTTCCTTGCTCCCTTTGTCAATGGCCATCTGCGGGGCCCTCGGTGGCACCCCTTGCCTGTGAGAGAGGCAGTGCCCCATCCGCTGTCCGGGTGCTGCCCAGGGCGGAGGTTCCTGGGCTCAGGCCACCACCAGGCAGATACCCAGCTATGGGCGACGGGCCAGAGGGTGCAGATGCCCTTTTTTGCCCCAGAGTTCACGGTCAGCAGCAGGATCACGTGATGTGTTGAGTGCACGAGGGCAGAGAGGGCGGGAGGAGGGCGGGCCCACCTCTGCCACCGGCACTGGACACTGTGGGGTCCCAGCTCTGCTCTGGGCGCTCCCAGCTCCATGTTCAGGTGACAGGGTAGCCACCAAGTCCGCTGCTCCCTGGAAGGCTCAGCGTTCGAGAGAAGCCATGGGGAGAGTTTGGCTCTTCCCAAAGCAGGACCCCACTCACCATGTCCCAGGAGACAGCAGCCACAGCCTATCGTTTCCCCTCCCAGCAGGCTCCCTCCTCACGCGTCTTCATGCAGCAAAGGGCTTCCTGGTGGCTCACTGAGTTACATGGCAGATGGCACAGACTGGGTGCCGCCCGTGGGGCTCACGGCTGGTGGGGAAGGCAGATAGCAGGTGGCCAGCGGCGATGCCTATGTCACGGGAACACCAGACAGGTGCTGGAGTCAGAGGGGTGCCCAAGGGCACCCAGTGGGGGCCCGAAGGGGTCTGGTCAGGTGCGTGACGGTGGGAAGGGAAGGGCAGGGCAACGCTGATGCCCGGGATGGCCGGCAGGCCCTGGCACCCAGGGTCCGGCCCGTGAGGACGATGGTGATGGTGGAGGAGGTGGTGGGACCACCTCCCTCATGGATGAGGATGAAGCAACATCCTCAAAGAGCCTGGGATCCGCCCACACCTGGCTCTAAGCAAACGGGAGCTTGGAATGTGCGTTGACCCAGGAGATAAATCAGGGGGCTCTGAATGCCCCTTGAAATAGCACCGCGGGTGTCAGCGGTCAATAGCACACGTGCACCAGGGCACACCTGTTGTCCTGCGGGGCAGGAGTATCTCCAGGCATCAGCCCTTGTCTCCCCGCAGGTACCTCTACTCCCGGAGGATCGACGTCTCTCTGTCGTCAGTGAAATGCTTGCACAAGCTCGCCTCTGCCTCCGGGGCCAAGCGGCTGCAGAGCTACTGCGGGCACCTCTTTGCCATCCTCCTCCCCCAGGACCCCTCTTTCCGGACGGCCCTGGACCTCTATGCCTATGCCCTGGCCACCCGGGACCCCGTGCTGGAGAAGATCTGCGTGCAGTTCCTGGCCTGGAACTTCGGGGCCCTGACGCAGGCCGAGGCCTGGCCGAGCGTCCCCACGGCCGTGCTCCAAGACCTGCTCTCCAGGAGCGAGCTGGTCACTCCCAGCGAGCTGGCCGTGCTGCTGGCCTTGGATGAATGGAGCCGGGAGAGGCGCATGTCCCGCGGGGAGGTGGAGGGCTTGGTGGAGAGGGTGCGGTTCCCCATGATACCGCCCAGGGACCTATTCACGCTGCAGTTTAACCTGTCCCTGTACTGGAGTCACGAGGCGCTCTTCCAGAAGAAGATGCTGCAGGCCCTGGAGTTCCACACCGTGCCCTTCGAGCTGCTGGCTCAGTACAGGGGCCTGAACCTCACCGAGGACACCTACCAGCCCCGGCTTTACACCTCGCCCACGTGGAGCGCCTCCGTGATGGGTTCCAGTTACAACCCCTACCGGTCCTTCCAGACGCCCCAGCACCCCAGCTTCCTCTTCCAGGCCAGCTCAGTCTCCTGGTCTTTAGTCTACCTCCCCACCATCCAGAGCTGCTGGAACTATGGGTTCTCGTGCTCCTCTGACGACCCCCCACTCCTGGCCCTCTCCAAGTCTAGCTACTCCAGTCCCACCATCGGTTATGAAAACAAGGCCCTGATGCTCTGTGGGAGAAACTTCGTGGCGGACGTCACCAACTTCGAGGGCTGGAAGGCCCTGATCCCCAGCGCCCTGGGCACCAACAGCTCCAGGAGTGCTTCCTTCTTCCCCTGCCCGGCAGGGTCCTTCAGCACCTTCCAAGTTGTCATCCGTCCCTTCTACCTGACCAACTCCACAGGTGTGGACTAGACCCGAGGCTGGGGGAGCCAGGGTGGCAGGAGCGCCCGGAGGCTGGGCACCTCCCATCCTTCACCTCCTCTCTGCAACCATCTCCAACCACCAGCCACCAGATGCCCCCCCCCCCCGGCATCCGTTAATCTCTCTGAGCTTAAAGAAATTACTGGAAGGTTTCAACTAGTGCAGTCCACAAACCGAGAACTCCCACTTCCCACTGCCCAGCTGGTTTGTCGGGAAGCAACAAGATATGAACAAGGAGCTGTCGGGTCTCCTACCCGGCCTTTCACTCCGCCCTCTGCTGTCCCTTATCTGAGATCATTAAAATTGCACCGTGGGGGCTTCCCTGGTGGCGCAGTGGTTGAGAATCTGCCTGCTAACGCAGGGGTCACGTGTTCGAGCCCTGGTCCGGGAGGATCCCACATGCCACAGAGCAACTAAGCTTGTGAGCCACAACTACTGAGCCTGCACGCCAAGAGCCTGTGCTCCACAACAAGAGAAGCCACCGCAACGAGAAGTCCGGGCACCACAACAAAGAGTAGCCCCCGCTTGCCGCAACTGGAGAAAGCCTGTGCACAGCAACGAAGACCCAACGCAGCCAAAAATAAATAAATAAATTTATATTAAAAAAAAAATGCCCTGTGGTTCCCAAGTTCTCTTGTTCATGCAGAAAGAGTTGTTGAGTCCACTGGGTGTTCGGACATTGGGTGTGCTGGGCCCTGGGGTCCAGTGAATGAGCAGACCCAGTCCTTTCCGTGTGAAGCTGCAGTCTTGTGGGTGAGACAGGTGATCACAAGTAAAACACTTGGGGTAAATACAAGCTGGAATAACAGGTGATGGAAACCAGAGGGTGGCAGGGGGAGGCATAGGCTGGAGCTACTTTAGTGGATCTCAGTGGAGAAATGAAAAGTGCCGGGCAGCAGATGTGGGGGAAATGGGAGGAGGGTGTGTTCCAGGTAGAAGGAACAGCACGTGCTTGGAATCTTCTCTCCATCAATCCTTGCACATGTGCACAGGGATGGGGGCAGAGATTCTCATCTCAGCGTTGTTTGTAAAAATGGAAATTTGCAAAGAACCTTAAAAGGCCACCAACAGAGTGCTTGACCACAAATAAAAGACACCCACGATGGGGTGGTCAGGCAGAAGGATGTACTAGAAAGATACAAGAAGACCCACAGAATCTAGGCCAAGGCGGGAGGGACCGGGCCTGGGGTTCCGTGGGTACATCCCGTTAGAATGCTATCACCGGGTTCGGGGTGCTGGAGGCTGCCCCTACCAGAGCAGGGCAGGAATTCTAAACTCTCCCTGCTTCTTTGTGATGCACACTCCAGGCACCGGGCCCCAGTGGAAGCATCTGGTTGGCCAGGCTCAGGCCATGTGCCCTCCACTCTCAGCCAGGGTCTGAGAGAACAAGTGTCTGGACTGTTTTGGCCTCGAGGAGGGAGGCGGCACAAGGCTCACCCAATGGGAGGGAGGTTCACAGGCTGGGCAGCCAAGACACAGCCGTCCCCACCACACACTCCTCTTCCCCAGCGGCCCTGCGAAAACACAAGCAGGCACACAAAGCCTCCACCTGATCCCACACAGCCTCACCCTTTCCCAAAAGTGCCCCCAGGCCCCTCAGGCTCCAGGCCCACCATCTTGGCCACCTCTGTAGCGGTCCTTTGACATTTTAAAAATCTATGACTTTAAATCACACCGTTGACCATTGCCATCACCACTCTCAGCCACATCAGCACGTAAAGGAAGACAGAAAGGAAATATTCATTATCAATGTGCACCAGACACACACAGGGGAATGCTGTCCTCGCTGTAGCAATGAGTCAAGAGACTACAGCATCTCCTCTCTCCTACCCACTCCGTGGACCTCTGCCCACAGACAGCACCTCGGCAGTGAAGGTACAGGCCTGGTCAGATAACCAGAACCTTCCAGAGAGCTCAAGGCCCTGGTGGATCCTGGCTGTAAGGACATCTACAGCCCCACATTGAGCCATTGGATCCGGCAGTTTGAGGAGACACCCGAGAAATCACTGAGTTCCTTCCATCCTCCTTGTGGGCTTTTGAGTGGCGGACCTGTCCCCCTGACGATCGGGGCCCACCAGCCCAGGGCAGGCCTCCTGCTTTCTTTCTGCATGCATTTGCCCGAGCACATGAGTGGTCCCACAGGCCAGATGCTGCTCTCAGCTTCTGGTCAATGCAGCGTGGAGGTGTCTCTTGGTGGAAACATTCCTCTCATAGGTATAAAACCTCTAAAGCAGCAGAGCCCAGAGTTAGGGGGACCAGAAGCAAAACATCTGCCCCTGGGGGACTTGCTGTCCTGCTTGGCCACCACTGGCTCCCATACTGGGGTTCCAGGTCAGGGAGAACCACACACTGGCCGTGAGCCCAGTGTGTGCCACAGACTGGAGGACAGGGTTGGGTTTTTGTTTGGGGTTGTTTTGTTTTGTTTTGTTTTGCTTTGTTTGGCAGTAAATGATAAAAGAATTCGTTAAGGAATCTGGAAGTAGGTTGATTCCAGGATTGGCTAATGGGCTGTTGACCTGTCCTCAGACCCAGGTTCTTCCATCTTTTGTCATGGAAGAATTCCCAAACCAATTCCGTGTCATGGGCTACTCATACGAGAGTGAGTCCCTGGGCCTCAGCACCTGCATCACCTGGGGGCAGCCATCCAGGCACCATGCTGTTTGGTGAGTCCAGGGTTGGTAGCACTAAGGCAGACTGATGAGTGGGGAGGACCAGTCCAAATCTAGTTCAACGTTGATTCCTTGGATGGAGGGCGTTGATACCTCGGGGCAAGCTGCCTCTTGCTCTGACTCCAGCCTTTTTGGGTCACGTGTCACCTCAAATGTCCAGAGGTGGTACCCTTTTCTAAGTGGCCAGGGCCACCTGTCTTCAATTCGGCCCAGGGCGATGGCTGTGGCATGGTGAGATGGCAGGAGGTGGGCCCAGAATCAGAGAGCTGATGTGGTCCCGAGGCAGGTCGTACGTGTGCGTGTGTGTGTGCGTATCCACACATGAGAGAGAGAGAGAACTGCTCCCAACAACGGCTGCATTCCACTTGCTGGGCTATAACACTTTGCTCCGATCAGGCCGTGTCTGGAACAGAAGGGCCTATTGGGATCTCCACCTGGTCTAGTTCAGGATTATCTACAAACCAAGTGTTCACGAGAGCCCGTGAAGCCTTTCCCGGGAGCTGTCGGTCACCTGGTTAATGGCCCGGAGGAAGGTTGTCAGTACCACACGGACTGTTTAAGTCCAGGCCCTAAGACGTTTGACCGCTTGCCTCTGAGGGGGCTCTGGGCAACCCAGGAATTGTGAGGGGACCACACCCCTATCATGATAGCACAATCACTTCTGCTTACCACTTCTCAGGTTTTGTTGTTGTTATTGTTTTTTCAATGATACAAATCAAGAGTTTTGCAAGCTGCTTATCTGTTTCGGTCTTGAGCATCTCATGGACAGCTAACCACATCCTTCCCATTGCATTAGGGAAGCCCTCTCAACGGCAGTGTCTCTGGTGGGGGGCCCTCTCTGACCTTCAGAAATAAGCCACAAGGGCACTTTCTAAGAGGCTGGTGCTTCCTTCCCCAGTGCATTTCACCAGGTCTTGTAGGAAGGAGAGCTGTCTGGGTTTTTCCAGATCAGGGGCTAGAGATTGGCTGCACACAGTACACTCTTCAGGGGTCCTGGCTCCTGGATTCCTTTCTCTACATCTTGCGGAGGAATTCATGGGCCCCCAGGGAGGCCAGTTTTCAGTCAACCAACTGAGGAGATAATTAGCATCACTCTCAGTTGCTCAAGCTAGCAAGGACGCTAGATCTCTGATGGATGTATCTGTATTCGATATTTTTAGATTTGGCTTCATATAATGAAAACCAAAAATAGTGGCTTATAAGAGATACTCTATTTTTCTCTCACATGGAAGAGAGGTAGGCTCCTCCTCTTTCTACACCACTTAGTATGTGACTGCCATCCTCAAGGTTACCTTGTGGTCCTTAATGGCTGCTGGGATTCCAGCCATCATGTCTGCCTTTCAGGAGGCAGGAAGGAGGTAGCAGAAAAAGACAAAGGGCTTTCCCCAGCTGTCTATCCCCCGAGACTGAACACATCTTAAAATTTTCACCTAAGGTGCCTCACTTGCTTCATCCTTGCTTTTGTCCCACTAGAAACAATCACCTCTGACCCTGCAATCCTTGAACACCTCATTCCAAGGAACCACAGGCAATAACTGAATCAGCCTCTTCATGACTGTGTGCAATGCCAGATTCCCATCGCTGGATGCCAGTGGGATTGGGGGAAACAGATTTCCTGGTGTATAACATATACATATACCTATGCACGTCTATATCTATGCGTATATACAAGTATATAGAGCTTAGTTCAGTGCTCTTCAGTGGAAGAGCAGCATGTGCCTTTCAGTGGTGACCTTGTTTAGCTCAGTATTTTGTCTGGGATTCACGTGTATTTTTCCATGCAGCAGAGCAGAATTCCATTGTCTGAATTGACCACAATTCAACCTGTTCTGCAGCTTTGGGACTGTGTCCAGTGTTTTGGTGTTTTGTGTGAAGCTTCTATGAGCATTCTTGTGACATCTTTGGTGGACACGTGGGCTCATTTCTCTTGGAAGTGTACCCAGGAGTGGAATTGCTGGGCCAGTGCGTTTAGCTGTCCCAGGGCCCACGTTCCCCGGCAGCGTGTGTGAGTCATTTGTTCCACATCCTCAACAGTACCTCAAAACCTCCATCTTTTTTTTTTTTTTTTTTTTTTTTTTTTGCGGTA